GATTCTTCTCCTGCCCCTCACCATAGTCCCATAGATAAGAAGTGCCCAATACCTGCCTAGGAGTGAGATTTCTTCATGCCCTCCTTTCTCTGTGCCTTGACTTAAGTCTCAGAGATCTCTTTTTATCTCCTCATTACAGTGTTTCCCTCCTTTCCCAATGAATCATGGGCACAACGCCTGGAGATCACCCTGCCTCAGTCACCTGAGGAGGCAGCCAATCTCTACAAGTTATCATGGCAGCCTCATCTCACTCTACTTCTGCCTCCAGATGCTCATAATGGGTGCAGGTAGGAATCCTTATATGAGTCCCCGATTCTCTGTGATGTCAGGGAAAGGAAAAGAGAGGGGAGCTGAAAGAAAAAGTTTGACAAAAATACAAATGTTATGAGATCCTGGCAAAAAGAGAGGTTAACTTTATCCACTTACTAAGTGCCAGCCAGTGTGTGCAAATCAGAATATAAATGTGGGGCAAAGACTGAGAGACAATAAAGGAGCTCCAGATGGTAATTTAAAAAAAAGCATACATTCTTACAGCCTCAAGATAATGTGGAATAAAAATAATTAGCTCGTATGCCTCTATTTCTCATCCCATGCTCATTGCAAACAGTATGAATGATTGTAAAACAATTTACTACTGAGCTGCTTCAGATTCTTCCTCAACACAGTTATCCAACTATCCATCCAGAACCATCAGAACTCCTGTGTGGTTCCTCCATCCTACCGACAAGGTCAGACCTGACCTGAAAGAGGTAGCCTGTCTATTCTCATCTCCTGCAGTCACATTCCTCAGGTCCCTCCCCACAGCGTGAGTTAAGTGAGGAGACTATGGCCCAAATTTTAAATTGGTACTTGCTTTCAGGATCTTGCCAACAATGTACCTGCACCCTGAAAGTGAGTGTGTCCTCAAAATTTGTGCCCTATGTACTTTGCTTGCCTCACCTTGGCCAGGTTTAGACCTCCAACATCTAATATCTCCAGCTTTCTCTAGTTTTGTGTGAATGTTTAGGTCAGAAAAGATCCAGCAACTATTTCAGACATTGTTTTCAGGACTTGGTTAGGATGGAAACAACCAATAATGTAGTCAACACCTCCTCATCTGCCCAAATCCACCCCCCTCAACCCTGACTCCATCTCTGTTCTCTTTTCAGGAGCATTCCAAGTCCAGGGGCCCCATGAACCCTTG